AGAACAGACCTTGCAGAGAGCTCCGTTCCTGTTCCCAGGAGGGCTTTCTCTTGGAGCAAAGGTGCTGCAGGACAGGAACTCTCAGTCCCCTTTTTCTAAAGAAACTGAGGTATAGTTACTGGTTGTTTCTAAAGTGTAGCATGACTTTTTGTGTCACTCATCTGGAACAAATGTGTAAGGCAGACCCTCCAGTGTCACAGCAGGACAGAGAAATAGGAGCCTGCCAGGTGAGCCAGGGCCAGGGTACAGCTAGGGATCCTAGGAAATGAGCTGTATTTTAGAAACAGAGGAAATGAGAGATGATGTCCTCATTCCCCACTTTCCTAAAGCAACCCCAGATATCCCAGATTACAGTGACCCACCGTGCCTGCAGCAGGCCAGGCCTTTGTTCATACCCTTCCCATTATCTCTCTCTGCAATCTCCAAAGCTGGCTGTGGGAACCTGGGTGAGTCATTTTTAACTTCTAACAGAAGTGACTATAATAACTACTCGACTAGGTTAATGTGAGGATTAAATACAATACTGTATTTAAATATACATCACATTGCTTAGAGTACAATAATTAGTGTTTATATTAATAATACTAAACATAATTAAAACTTATGGAGTGCTTACCCTGTGCCAGAACCGTTCAAAGAGCTTTATATTATTAACTTTATTTTATATTAAATCACTCATGATCAGAGAAATACAAATCAAAACCACAAAGAGATATCACTTCACCCTGAGTTAGAATGTTTATTATCAAAACGAAATGGGAAAACATCCTAGGCAGAGGAAATCACACTCAAAGGCCTGTGGGGGGACAAATCAGCCCCGCCTATATATGAAGGACTGAAAAAGGCCAGTGGGGCTGAAAAATGCAGAAACAAGGAGGAGCATTGCAAAGCATGGATGCCAGACAGTAAAGCAGGGATCAGCCACACAGGGCCTTGAGACCCGTGTTAAGGAATTCTATCTTTCCTAACCATTCCTGAGCTCTATTCAGTTCTAGTTTCCAGTGGCTAGTCATTTACCCTTAGCCCATTCCATTTTTTGTTAGGAACTTCTTCTTTACATTGGATTGGAATCACTTTTCCTTCAGCTTCCAGCTCTAGGCTCCAGCCCCTGGAGCCCTATAGAGAAATCCTACTGCGTTTTCTATGTTCTTTCCAAATCACATCCCTTGAATTCTCCTGCTCCTAAATTTAACCCATCCTCATATGACAAGGGTTTAAGATCATTTTCCATCACCGCTGCCTTCTTTGGGACCCACTTCCTCAAATGTGATGCTCAGAACTAGACAGCCGAGCTTGGGCCAAGGCAGGGAAGGACTTGCACCTCCCTTGTTGAGGATGCCTAGCTTCGGTTGTAGAGATTTCAAGGTGGGAGTCATTCTTTGAATGTCACCTCACCCTGCTGATTCATAATAAGCTTGCAGTCAACTAAGACCTTTAAATCCATTTCTTGTAAGCAGCTATTAAACCAGGTGTTTCTCATCTAATATGTATGTAGGCATTTATTTTTAATTTATACCTTGTTTATTTCTAAAATGAGTCTAGAAACAGAACACTAGTATACATCTACACAGTTAAAATAAAGATCCAAGGGAGAACAGAAATGTTACATTTTTCACAGTTTTTCTGAGTTTAAGTGCAGATATCTTCATTTACCCCTATTCAATTTGGTTCCATTGATTTAGGGCTCTCAGTGCTGTTTTTCCAAATCTCCTTCTCTTTGAGATGTCAGTCAGTCCATCAACATATCACCTGAGGATCTGCTGTTGAGCACCATCCTTACATATTTTCTCTTTAGGTCAGAGATCTCAGTTCCCTCCACTACGAGCTGTATGGCCATGGACCAGTTAATCAACCTCTCTGTATGCCACTTTCCTCCTTTGCATAATGGTGCCCACTTCATGGAATTGTGAGGATTAAGTAAAGAAATTGATGGGGTTTCTCCACTGTTTCTTCCCCACTTGCTGGCTAGATGAAGAGGACTCTGGATGCTAAGGGATAGTGTGCCCTGAATCTCTCCATGGAGAAGAGCCTCTCACCAATCAGGTTCACCTGCATCAGACTGTCGTGTGAGAGAAAATTAAGTTCACAGTGTCCTCAGACGATAAATTAGAGGGGTTTGCCTGCCTCCGTTGTCCATTCTTCCCAACTCTAAGTGATACTACCTGTTTTTTTAATCCAGAGGCAGATGTAGGGCTGGGTGTGGTCCTGGACCTGGTTACCCCCATGTCCACTCCTCCCTGCCCCCTGCTCTGCTCTACATCACAGCAAAGCCGGCAGGCTGGGCTTCCCTGGCCCCCACTTCAGCTTACTGCTTGTGGCTTTGGCCAGCGGAAGACACTGGCGAGAGACTGGAAGGTGGCAAGAACCAGCAGCCAGCATCTTCCAAGCATCTCCGACACTGCCAGCATTTCCTTCCTGCCTCCAGTTCATTCCAGGGAGACCCAGCACAGTTCCAGCCTCCTCAGTGACCCAGTCCCTGAGCTTGAATTGAACCCTCTCTCCCCTTTGCCCTCCAACCTTGGAGTGCTAGGGGCTTCCCATTACACCAATCTCTGGTGGCCTCATTGTTTCCTCCTTGGCATCTTGGCCCTTCTATGACCTATGAACCAAATTGTCTCCATAAAAGACCCTCTGTATGAAGTATTAAATGACTTGTTTCCTAGTTAAATCAGGACCTAAGGAATCACCACTCTTCACATCACGATTAGTGAGACAATTGATATCTTTGTGTTTCACCTCTGATTCAGTAAATGGCATGTGTATCTCAAATAGCGAACACACTTGGTCCCTGTGGGTTTTCAATCGGGGGCGGGTGAGTGGGGGGTGGGGGGTTGCTTTATTTTGGCCAGACACTAGGAGGCATCATTTTAAAGTTCCTTTGCCTGCTCTGATCCCAAGCTAATATTGAGACACTGTGAGAGCCTCCTAACTTGTCTGCTGCTCCTACTCTGGCTCCTCGAAATCTATTTTCAACAGAATGAGGGCCTTTAAAAATGCAGGTCTGATTTTGTCACTCCGCTGCCTTGGCCTGCTAATGGCTTTCCAGTGCCCTTGGACTAAAATCCGAACAGCTCACCATGGTCCACGCGGCCCTGTGTCATTTGCTGCCTCCCTGTTTCCCATCCAGTCTCCTGACCGGGCCCTCGTGGCCCATTCTGCTTCTGTCCCACTGCTTCTTTCTGTCCCCTGTTCACCTATGCCATTCGTGTTCCCTCTGCCCCCCAAGAACTTAGCGTGGCTGTCCTCTCGTCATTCAAATCCAACCTAAATCACCTCCCTACCCCTTGCTCATTTTCTATGTTTTCAATCTGTTTTTTTTTCCATAGCACCACTAATTAACAAATTTAGCTGGTCAATGTATTTGTTTGCTTGTGGGAGAGCTTGAGCACAACTATCTTATTCACCCACTATATCCCCAGCACTTAGAAAATTCAAGACACATTTATTGAATGAATGACCAAATCTCCCTTTCTCAGATGAGGGGACTGAAGCCCACTAGCATTAATAGGACATGTGTAGGACCCAGCCCAAGATCTGATGCTATACTTGCTTGGCCCCTCTGCCACAGGGATCCAAACACACCCGCCTTCCAATGCTATATGGCCAGCAATTTACGTAGATTAGGCAAGAGATTACCTCATCCTTGGAATCTTCTGTAGCATATTTGTTTAACAATACAACTGCCACTTAGCATTCCAGGTCACAACTAGCTTTGGCCTCCTGAAAATCAAGTAACCAACCGCTATTCATTCCACATTGAATTTCTTTACAAACATATTCATTGTTGAAACGTGATTTTTCCTGGGTATAGAGCCTCATATAAATGAGTAGTTGTTCATATCTATAAACAAATGTTTGAATAACACCTTCTCTGACTCTCACTTGCCCTTGGCAATGGGCTCTTGAACTTGTTAACTGGATGAAAGGTTCACCATGGTGTGTTCTCTTCACAGATACCCCTGAGGCCCTGGAGGTTCCTGTTACAATTTGATATTAAAAATAAATAACAAAAAATACTAAGTGGGCTCAGGGATCCTACCCACCTCAGGTGAGCTCCAGGCTCACACCAAGAACCTAAAAAGTCTGAATCTAAAAAGTCTGAAAGAGCTGTTAGGCAGGAAAATAGATATGAGTGGGGTGAAGAGAGAATTAAGGCCGGTAAAGCCCACTACAAGGGATGCCGAGTTAACCAGTTAAAACTAGAGAGCCAGAAAAGATTCAGAGTTAATGAGTTAATCAGGTAAAGCTCAAAAGGCCAGGAGCAACTCGGCCTGGAAATGTGTGGATATTCCCCAAATAAAGAAAAGTATCTGAGTACAGCCCATGGCTTCATTGTGTCAATTAGATAGATCATGCCATTGTAAGATTTACTTTAGCCTGCTAAAAGGCCCAGCTATAAACAGCATAATAAAGACAGGAAGATTCCACCTTAAAGCTAAAATTGCATTTTAAAACCCAAGAAAATAAGAAGTAACTTAACACCAAATAGACAGTAACTCAGCCCACCTTGGAGGCAGGGCAGGCAGTCCTGATTGATAAGTTCCCAGACCTCTCCTCCCTGATGCTGCCTGTACTTTTTCTCTCTTTAGGTAACTTTAAATGAAACTTTTACTCTACTTCCCTGCTGTGTCTCTGCCCTTCAATTTCTTGCTATGGCGGGGACTAGAACCAAGGAAAATACACAAAGCCCCCCTAACAAAGCTCCCAGACTATGTAAAGGAGTGCAGAGAGCATTAAGAGTCAGGAAAAAGAACTAATAAAACTTAGCTAAACCTGTAAAGGAGTGCAGAGAGCATTAAGAGTCAGGAAAAAGAACTAATAAAACTTAGCTAAACCTTAACAGCAGACCATTCCGGAATAGTAAGAGATTCAATGTCTAAACNAGGTATATGCATATGTAAAAATTCGATAGTACACCTTAGGATTAGTGTGCTTCATGTACTTCACATATACCTCAGTAAAAAAGAAGAAAGAAAGAGAAATACCTAAAACTTGCTGATTTAACAAAGATATTCCTGTGGCAGAAACATGAGGGAGTAAACACCGAATACTCAGGTTTGATGAGAGAGCTAGATCTAAGAATGGAAGAGTGGTAAGTAAAGACAATATGAATATCACTGATCTAAATAGAGATCACAGATAAGCAGGAACCCCTGAGTGGACACACTGGGCTCTGTGAACAGAAATGCCAGTTCCTTACCATGAAGCATCTCACCTTTAGGGGTTCATAGGCAGCAAATGTGGCACTGCTCTCCAAATACTCTTCATACTCAGTCACACTCACTGTTACCACAGCATGACCCAGAGATTTGGCTGCTATGTGTATACTGGAACAATGCGCTGGTCCAGGTCTTTGCATACCTGTAAATATTCAAATAAAAAAACATGACTTCAGTAGGTGAACAGGCAGGCAGTTCTCAAAGAAACCAGTCTCCTAAATACAAAATTTTAACATATTAAACACCATCTTAATCTCAACTACTAGGCCCCAATTATTATATCAAGTTGACATAAAAACCTGTTCTTTCTAGTAACAGATATATATCACATAAGACACAATTCTATATACAGCAAGGATACAAACATGAGCAAAGATCCTGACCTCAAGGCATATATAGTTTAGAAGGGAAGAGTAAATATTTATATAAATTAGAATATTAGTAGAAAATGATTAGCATTATAGAAGTCTAGAAAACAGAAAGATTACTTCTAACTAGAGCTCAAGGAAGGTTTAGATATGTAGAAGAAAAATGAATGAATGAAGATAGAAACATAAACATAATACAACTAAGTATATGAAGGAGATATATGGGAAATTTTAACTAAAGCAGTTGTTTTAACTAGACTAATAAATGAAGCCAAAGTATGAAATTATGAAAAGAATGGGTTGTATTGTGGAGGGCCTTGAATACTAAACTAGAAGGGTTTCGACTCTATTCCACTGGCAATGAAAAGCTTCTCAAAATTTTTGAGAAGGAAAGTAATATAGAAGTTGAGCTTCGTGAAGATCCATCTGGCAGCCATGATTATCAAAGGCAAGAACAGTTAAGAGGATATTGTTATATTCTAGGTGAGAGATAATGAAGGCCTAAAAATTAGGAGAGATATCCTGAGAACAGAGAAGAAAGAGATATTATATGGTGTAATTAGCAAGGGCAAGGGAGAAATCCAAGCTAATGGCCTTACTGATGTATTGTTGTAAAGGAGTGCAGAGAGCATTAAGAGTCAGGAAAAAGAACTAATAAAACTTAGCTAAACCTTAACAGCAGACCATTCCGGAATAGTAAGAGATTCAATGTCTAAACTTAGAGAGAGACCAGATCAAAGGAAGAGAGAGCGAGAGGCCAGCCAAGGGCTATTTGAATCCTAGTTTACTAAATCCCCATGGTTTACAACCCTGATATCCACCCTGGCAGGGCCCTTGCTTATTTTTATACTGCTTCTCACTTTAGGTCCCTGTATCTTAAACCGGCTAATAGCCTTTGTTGGGGAAAGAGTGAGTGCTGTTCAGGTGCTAATGCTGAGACTGCAGTATCATTCACTCACACAGCAGGAAGAAACAAACATTCCATGATTGGAATGGTCAAAGGAAAGTGGGGAAATGTAGAATCTAAGCATTAGTAAGATTAGTAAATTAGCATAAGCATAGCCATCTTAGAAACCTAGAAACCATTTTCTGAGAGTGTGACTCAGAGGAAAAAAAAAAAAAAAAAAAAAACCCTGGGCCTGGGTAAGGCCTTGAAAAACAAGTTAATCATGAGCACCGGGTGGTGGGCAGCTGTGACCCTTGGTCAGCTAACCTTGGTCAGTAAATCTTACATACCAAGCTTATCGTGCAGAACCTCCCTAACCATTGAGGAGTAGTCTTACCCTGCCCTTGCTTAACCCCAGGATATATGTCTTGCAAGAATAATGTATAGTTATAGAAAATTGCTATGAGTTAAGTGCTTTGAAATTGCTATATAAACCCTTGGCTCTGAGTGCTCGAGGTCCTTGTTGAGACCCGCTGCATCGGGCTGACTTGGACCTCAGCTAGCTAGCTGAATAAAGACTTTGCTTGAATTTACATCTCTATGCCTGTATAGTTTGTTCTCTGGGGAAGCCTCGGAAGCCTGGACCCTAACATTGTGAGAATTAGCTGAGTTAATAAATCAAAAGTATTCAGAATAGAGCCTAGCAAGTAATGAATGTTAAGTAAATGTTAAATGCTACTGCTGTCATTATTAAAGATGAAAAAACAGGGTGATCAGGGTCAAATATGAAGTTCAATAACAGGACACAATGTTGATCTTTATGAGTAATTTATTCATATTCTTTTCTATTAGAAAAAAGGTCTTTTTTTGAAATAAACTTAATATATACATACATTAAATAGCACTACATTCCACTTAGAGGTATGATGTATATATGTGTGTGTATGTATATATATATATCATATATATAAAGGAGGAGGAAGAGAGCTTGAGGCTAGAAACAGAGGATCTTAACAGGAGCTGAAGGAGTGGCTATAATGGACGCTGCACGTGATTCGATTTCTGTGCCTTTGTTTCTACATTACATTAAAACACCTACTACAAGGCAGTCAGCAGAATAAAGAAAGGTATTGTAAAGAAAGGTAATATGTGAATTGAGACTATAATTTGTAGCTTCTGGGATAATAATTGGTCCTTTCATTCAAAGGCCAAAAAAGGAGAAAATAGAAAGCCTCCTCTTACCTTCTTTGTGAAGAGTGAAGACTCCTTGCTTGTCCATGTTCAGAGCCAAGGATAAATGAGAGCAGTCTGTAAACATGATGGCCTCTTTGGTCTCCTTGCTTATGTGATACATTGCAATGGGGATTTCTATAACCTGGCCAATCTCCACATCAGCATGAAATGGTAACAGTTCCATTTTGTTCAGTTGCAGGACATAGATCTAAAGGGAAAAAAATTCATCTTTCAAGAAAGTTATGTTAGGCAAGTCTTATGAGAAAAGACAGCATTACTTAAATATTTAAATACACAAAAATGTATATGTTTAGTATACAAATACATACTATAGAACACGTGTGTGGGGTGGTAGGTGCTGAATATGTCACTCGTTTTATTCCTTAATCAAGTGATCTTTCTAAAGCATCAAACAGCGTACAGCCAGGATCTGGAAAATTATGGCCAGTGCACAATTTTCTTAGCTTTCATAAGCTAAGAATGGTTTTTACATTTTTCAAGGGTTGTAAAATAAATGACAAAAAAAAGTAAGAGACAGTGGCTATATGTGGCTTACAAACACTAACATATTTACTATCTGGCCCTTTACAGAAAAGTTTGCTGACCTCTGAGATGGTACAGTTCCTTTTCTTGGTATCTTTATTTTTTTCAGTAATTTTTTATTAAGGTATTATTGATATACACTCTTATGAAGGTTTCACATGAAAAAACAATGTGGTTACTACATTTATCCATATTATCAAGTCCCCACCCCATGCCCCATTGCAGTCACTGTCCATCAATGTAGTAAGATGCCACAGATCCACTATGTGCCTTCTCTGTGCTACACTGTTTTCCCCGTGACCCTTCACACCATGTGTACTAAACATAATACCCCTCAATCCCCTTCTCCCTCCCTCTCCACCTGCCCTTCCACACCCCTCCCCTTTGGTAACCGCTAGTCCCTTCTTGGAGTCTGTGAATTTGCTTGATATCTTTTTTAAACTATCTTTTATTTTGTCTTTGCTATAACCTGAATTTTTGTGGTTCCCCCCTCCCAATTCATATGTTCACATCCTAATCCCCAAGGTGATGGTATTAGGAGGTGATTAGGTCATGAGGGTATAGCCCTTACAAATCTGCTGGTGCCTTGATTTTGGACTTACCAGCTTCCAAAACTATGAGAAATAAATATCTGTTGTTTCTAAGCCAGCCAGTCTATGGTTATTTTGCTATAGCGGCCCAGGTGGACTATGACAGTCTTATTTGTCACTTTCTATGTTTCTTTTCCTAAGCCTTCTTTCTCTGCCTATGTTGCTTAAAGTGACTCATACAACACAAGCTCTTCCTGGGAAATCTTATCCAGTTCCAAAGCTTCAGTGACAATCCATACACTGATAACTCCAGATTTCTGTTTCTAGCCCTAACCTTTCAGCTGTACTTTAGATCCCTACTTTCAATAACCAAATTCACGAGGATGTTGCATAAGTGAATTGGTGAAATTCAAACCGGAACTAATCATCTTCCTCTTTTTCTTTCTCCTTTTCTTGTATTTTCCATCCACCCAGCTGCCAAAGCTAGAAATCTCTGTGTCTTTAAATCTTTTCACCTTTACCACACCCCACTGGGCATCAGATTTGACTATGTCTACCTCTAAAAAAACCCTCATTTGGTCCCCTTCTCCCTGTTCTCAGTGCCATTTCACAAGTTCAGACTTTGGATGCTTTGCCTTACTTTCTCCTTTCAGTCCATTCTATTCTCCTAGTACCTAGCACCAGCGACTATCTTTCATTTCTTTTTTTAAAAAAAATATTACAGTTGTTACTGTCTATCTTTCTAAACACGGGCTTTAATATTACTGACCTTTTGAAAAACCTGTGCTGGCTCCGAACAGGGAGCCGGAGGGAGTTAGCAAACATTTTCTGTAAAGGGCCAGCCAATATTTTAGGCTTTGGAGGCCACACAATCTCTGTGGCAACTACCCAACTCTGAAGTTGTGGCTGGAATGAAGCTACAGACAATACAGTGAATGAGAGTGGCTGTACTCTGATAAAACTTTATTTACCAAATAGATAATGGTTTGAACTTGACCCTTAGGCCTTAGTTTGGCGCCATCCTTCAAAGTCTTGTTCAAGTTCCCATCTCCTCATGACAGTCTCTGACTTGTCACATCCACAAGGATTTTTCTTTTACAAATTAATAGTACTCTTACTGTGCAATTCAAGTAACTCTCAATCATGTACTGCTTTAAAATACCTCACGTATCATTTCCTTAAAGTGTTTATTTAACTTTTCAGGTCAATAGATCCTTCTGGTTAGACTTTAGATTCTTAAAAGTAGGGATATGTTTATTTGAAGGTCCTATGATACTTCATATGGTGTTAAATACCAGGCTAATAACGGTACTCAATAAATGTTCACTGAATGATAATAAAATGCTAAGCTTGCAGGGAATAACATATTAACATATATTAAAAATGGGAGAATAATAGGAAAACAGTTATATAATAGAGTAAAAAAGAGTTCTTAATCTTTTAGAAATGAGACTGACATGCAAAAATATGAGAACAGTAATAAAGTTACTATTAAGGACATATATATGATAAAAATAACAAAATGTGATACCAAAATGGGTAACATCAAACAGGTAAGTATTGAATATATTCCAAGCATTGTGGTAAACATTATCTCGTTTAATTCTGACAATAACCCTTGAGGAAGATGTCATTTTTCCCATTTTAGAGATAAGGAAACAAACATGGACATTAAGTAACTGGCTTTTAAGTGAAGTAGGATTGAACCCAGATCCAGGAATATTTAAGGAATACGTTCTTCCAGACTGAATTTGAGCACCATTTTTAAATAGCCAGTGTGGACAAGAAAAAATTTTTAAATGTGTTACTGTACTTCCAGTTGTTTACCTTAATTTCTGCATATCGAAAAGGATTCCGTATGTCTCGGGCCAAAATACTACTGTTCCCTCTAACCTGACCTGCAGCCACCACTCCTTTAGTGGTTACCATGGCCACTGTTTCATTAGAAGAGGTCCAAGTGAAGTTGCCACTGCCACCCTCTACCTGTGGAAAAACACAACCTTACATTAATTACTATAGGAGGAAAAATGGAATTTAAGCAAGATGCAAAATCTGGTGAAATAAAGTTTAGGAAATAATAAAACTATATAATAAATTATTTTTGGACACTTAAACTATGATTCCATAGTAAAATAGCTAACTGGGCAAGGGAAGTACTAAAGGGAGGTTAGGTAATGGCAGTGTCGCAAAATGTCAAAAAAGGGCACAAGGAAGCTTGACAAAATTTTATAAAACTCACAAGGAAAGGATATATGGAAGAGATACAGAAAGTCTTGTTAGGATGACAGCATTTGAGAGCATGATTTGGCTGTCACCAAAAAGGGAGTTATACTTATTAGGGTTAGGGAGAAATAAAATTTAACATTAACCAAATTTCAAAAAATTAAGCTATCAGAGAAACTGGCTTATTTCTTTGTGAATTCTCACAGGACACCATACCTGTACTTTATAATGATATAGCACTCCCATAGGATGATAAGGAAATGCCAGAAACTTGGGTGTAAGTTTGATGGGAAAATAAATCTTTACTTCTTGCTGATATGTGACTGGAAATTTTATAGGCTGTATAGTTTTATTCTATAAAAGCAGAAAAAAGCAAAACAGATTTTATAAGGGTTGTTGTTATGATCCACATTCATATTCAAAGCAACAGCAAAACAGTGCTAATGAATTATTCAACTAGTTTCTATCTGTAAAAGAAATAAAGAAACAAATGTTCCCATACATTAAAGAAGTACAGCAACTACAGTTCAATAATAATGAAAGAGATTTTGCTAGTCATAAAAAAAGTATCACAATCCGGGAAAGTAGTTAAAATTTCCTGAACAAAAGTTTTATCAACATGGGGAGGGAAATCATAGTTTCAGAAAGAAAAACCTTGGGCGTTTATCAGTTTAGTATGTAAACTGTAAAGGCAAAGGGATATCAAAAGCTATTCAGAAGAAAAAGAGAACATTTAAAGCTGCTGGGGTAAAGACATTCCCTTCATGCTTGAGAACAGTCGCAGGGGTTGGTGGGGGTAAGGCAGGAGGAATCTAGGCAGGTAAAATGGAATCTTCCCATTCAAGTATACTGGCATTTTCTCTTTGAACACAAAAATCTATCTACCTATTTATCCATCCATCCATCCATTCATCCATTTTTTAAGGAAGCCCTGAAATACTTACTAAGTCTCATATCTGCAATACCGGCGCTGATTTTCTCCACACTCTTTTACGGAAGCTGGGTCATAAACTAAAAACAAGTCTTTTAGTTTAAAAGAATGTACCTCTGGGAGGGAAGATCCCAGGACAAAATCCCTTTGAAACCAAAGTCAGTCAAAGGGAGAAATAAAGTTTAAGAAACCTGTTTATTGCTCAGAAGCAGCCATCCCGCATCTCTCTTGACCCGGCTGCAGCAGCAGAGCAGAACTCCACCGTACCTCTCCAGTCCTTCACTGGGCCTTGTAAATCACCTATTGATATGGGGATGGACTACTTCTCTCCACCCCTTGGAAACACCTATTGATAGGGAGATGTACTAAAGCCAGGCTAGGGATTCTGGAAATATTGCAATTTTACCCACAAAGAACATCAGTCTATTTTAACTCACTGAGACTGATTTTGGACTTTTGACCTTCAGAACTAATCATTTTGACCTTGGAAGACAATAAATTTGTGTTGTCTTAAGCCAAAAAAAGAGAGAAAGTGTATGTGTGTGAGAGAGACAGAGACAGAGAAGGCATCATTCTGATGGTATTTAGGTGATCAATGAGGGAAACAAGATCAAATCTACTGGGAGTAGGAAGCGTATGCTAGGCCTGGCTAGAACTCTTTAAGATTAAGGAATAAGCCTTGCCTTTTATATGCACTTGACTGTAGTATCTACAGATAATCATTTAAATAACTGTTTGACTATTACAAGCCACGTATTACTGGTGCTTACTTAATCACTGGAAACAGGATCATCAATACCTTTAAATCTAATATCAGAGAACCCAGAGCCAATTTGGAGAATTGGCCCCAATAATCCTCACTGCTGGTGTTCACATCCTTATGAAGTTCTTTCTACCAGTCGAATATGGGAAGTGCTTACAGTAGAAAAGAAGATGTAAAACCAATGACCTACTATAAGATTCTCCCACTAGAAGAAACTTTAAGAAGAAAAGCAAATTAAACACAAAATGAGAAGGGAATAATAATAATTCATTTTATGAAGGCAAATAGTATCTGAACATCAAAGCCTGAAAAAAAACATTATAAGAAAATGAAAAAGAAGGGGGAAAAAGCTACAGGTCTTCAAGAATGTATATATAAATGTCATTAACACAATTATAGCAAATTAAATCCAGCAACATATAAGACAACAACAAATCATGATCAAGTGAGGTTTATCCCCAAAAATGCGAGGTGGGTTTAATATCAGAAAATCAATATAATTCAACATACTTAAAGACTAAAAAAAAGAAAACCATATGGTCATCTCAATAGAGGTAGAAGAGCACTGAAAAAATTCAGCACCAGTTCATGATAAAAAGTTTGAACAAACTAGAAATAGAAAGGAACTTCTTCAACCTAAGGATGAACACTTAACACGAAATCTAGAGCTAGTATCATACCCAATGGTGACAGGGTAAATGCTTTTCAAAACCTTTAAGATCAGGAACAAGGCAAACATGTCCACACTTACTACTTCTATTCAACATTGTAGTAGAGGTCCTAGCCAGTGCAATGAAGCAAGAAAAAGAACTAAAAGGCATATTGATCGGAATGAAAGGAGCAAACTGTCTTTATTCACATATAACATAATCATATATGTAGGAAATCCTAAGGAACCTACAGAAAAATTACTAGAATTAATAAGTGAATTCAGTGGTTTCAAGATTCAAAGTAACATACCAAAAAAAATCAATTAAATTACTCTATACTATCAAAGAACAACTAAAAGTAAAAAATTTAAAACTTCCCTTATAATAGCTTGAAGATATAAAATAGGAACAAATCTAACAAAACATGTTCAAGATCTATACAGTGAAAACTACAAGACATTGGTAAAAGAAAATGCTAAAGTCCTGAATAAGTGGAAGATGTAAGGTGTCTGCAAAAATAGGTACAGTAGGGAGCTCCAAGAACCTGTCCCTCCATAGGAAAAAAAAGAAAGTAAAACTGTCAGAATTAACTTTGACAGGACATTGGAAATACACAAAGGTTTATAGCAACCAAGTGAAAGCTGATTCAAGAAAAAGGTGACTTTAACATGGCATTAAAGAACATTTTTGTTAAACATTAACTGATTACAAGCTAAAGGAACAGATTTTTACAGACTACACATGACATAAGCCTGCCTTTAAAAAATAGTTTAGAAAACTCACTAAACATATAAGCAACTACAACCTATAGCAAAAAATAACCACAAAAAGGGGAAGAAACTGATGTCCAGAGTCACCACATTATAGCATTAAAATGTTAAATTTTCAACAGAAAAATTAGAAGGCATGCAAAGAAACAATAAAATATAGCCCATTCACAAAAAAAAGGAAGCAAGGAAGGAAGGAAAAATTTAACAGAAACTGTGAGGAACCATAGACATTGAACTTACCAGACAAATACTTTTTACCAAAGACCTAAAGGAAACAATGGACATCACTCCAGAAGAATGATCTTTCATCAAATAGAAAATATCATAGGAGAAATAGAAATATAAAAAAGAATCAAGAGGAAATTCTGAAGCTACAAAGTACAATAACTGCCATGCAAAATTTGCCAGAAGACCTCAACAGCAGAGTTGAGAGGGCAGAAGAATCAGCAAACTTGAAGATAGATCAATTGAAATTATCCAGAAGGAGTAGTAGAAGGAAAAAAGAAGGAAGAAAAATTATCAAGCCTTAGGGACTAATGGGACACCATCAAGTAAATAAATACATAAAAATAGGAGTCCCAGAAGTAGGGAGAGAAACGTGCAGAAATTGTATAGAATTACTACTATATACACAAAACACACTCATTTAAGTACACGTAAAAAGTGACTAAGGTCTGAAATCTAATTGTATTGTAAAAATATTAATTTTCTAGTTTTCATATTGTACTACAGTTATAAAAGATGTCACTACTGAGAAAACTTGGTAAAGAGTTCCAGGGACCCTGTTATGTACTAAATATACGTAAATTTTTAACAGTTTTATTGGCAAACAATTCACATACTATACAATTCACCAATTTAAAGTATACAATTAAATGACTTTTACTATAGTCACTGTTATACATCTATCACCACAATCAATTTTAAACATTTTCATTACACCAAAAATAAATTCCACACCTCTTAATTGTTACTGTCCAAGTTCCCTACTCCTTCCCCCAGCTCCAGGTGACCACCAATCTACTTCCTGTCTATATAGATTTGACTATTCTTGATATTTTACATAAATGGAATCATACAACATGCAGCCTTTGCGTCTTGCTCTTTCACTTATCATAATGGTCTAAAAAGTTATCCATGCTGTAATATATATCAGTATGTTGTTTTTTGTAATTGTCGAATATTTTCTTCTATGGATATGCCATTTATTCATTCATAAGATGATGGATATTTGGGTTGTTTCTGCCTTCTATTTTAAATAATGCTGCTATGAACATTCATGTACAAGTTTTTGGGTCAAAATGTTTTCAGGTCTCTTGCATAAATACATAGGAGTGTAATTGTTGGGTGATATAATTCTACACGTAGCCTTTTGATGAATTGCCAGGCATCTTCCAAAATGCTGCACCATTTTACATTCCAACCTATACTGTGTGAGTGTTCCAATTTCTCTACATGCTCACCAACACTTGTCATTGTCTGTCTTTTTAATTTTAGCCAGTGGTTGTGAAGTGGTATCTCACTGTGGTTTTAATTTCAATTTTCCTAATGACTATGTTGAACATCTTTTTGTGTGTTTATTGGCCATTGGTACATCTTTTTGGTTCCATGTACTATTTTTGCAACTTCCTGTAATTCTACAATAATTTCAAAATAGTTTTTAAAAGTTATTAATGGTAACTCTTCCTGCAAAATGGTTAAGTGTTCCAATATATTCCATAAAGATTTCTTCCAAATTTTAGATCATGTATACCCCACATATTCTCCCCAAACACAGAAAATATTTATTATCTGACTCTCATTACTTAGGTACCAAAGAAACTAGGAAACTCAGACATGTCTCTATCCCACTGAGTGAAGAGTATAGTAGATGTCACTTAAAAACTCCAGACCAATTTTGAACTTGATAAATAGTAGGGCTAAGGCAAAAATAGCAAAAATAAAAACAATTTTTAAAGGAGCAAGGGTAAACTCAGATTTTAAAATACGATACTTTTTAAAAAGCAGGATCTGTAGGATTGAACAGTGATTCCATAATGTCATGTTGCCAGAAACGCCATAACAATGGATAAAAAAAACACTGTGCATTAAATATTGTTTAAAAAACTGGATAGATTTTAATAATGAATATAGATCTATACCTGATCATAACTAATCCAAACACAATTCAGTTGTTTAACAAATACTTATTCAGACCACTGTATGTTGGTCAATCTGTTAGATGTTAGGGCAACAGTCGT